GTGTTTATACAGACTGACTGAGTTAAAATCCCCCAGAACTGAATGCATTTATAAAGGAGGCTTTTCATCTTGTCTCAATTTATGTGATTCCTTTTGCAGTCTCTGTTTTGGACACAAATAAATTCAGGAAGTGACGATTTTAAAACACGTGCTGCAGCTAAACCTGCAGCGGACTGAGAGTGTGTGGGACAGCTGAGGCTCTGTGATTTAAACTCCGCAGTATTTCCCTCCTAATCTCCATCCAGATCATTTTATTTATGCTCCTCTGGTTTGTGCACTCATGATGACCTCCTTTTACTTCATGGTAGTGACAAACAGTTTTTGCTTATATTAAAACCATTTCAATTGGGCCATTTCTGCCTTTATTGCATAGGACAGCTGAAGAGAGACAGAAAACATCGGGAGGAGAGAGTAGGGGGATAACATGCAGCAAAGTGCAGAGGTCGGACTTGAACCCACGGCCGCTGCGACGAGGACTACAGCCTCCGCACTTGGGGAACATGACACAACCAAGCTACAGGACACCCTGGCTTTGTCCATCTTCAAATACAGTCTGTGATTCACACGTGCACAAAACTCTTGCCAAACATTTTCAGGGTGAGCTGCTCTATAGCTGCATGCACTGATGTCTCTCAGAAGCAATTTGGATTTTGATTCAGAAATACTTTTTTATTTTTAAAAAGACGCTTAAATTTCCTCTTTGGGGGCTCTGGTAGCCTGGTGGTTAGTGCACGTGCCCCCATTTATGACTCTATCAACTGTCCTATCACTCAAATAAAAGCCAAAAATTAACCTTTAAATTTCCTCTTCCTATAATACCAAATAAAGGCCGACTTCTAAAAAACAATAGAGACTACGCTTCCCATAATACAACTTGGTAAGGATTTCCTTCTTCTCAATCAAAACTATTCAATTAGAAAACTTAATACTGCATGATAATGATGCTTGCTGAGCTTAATGAGTATTTGGTTGTTTGTCCGGCAGTCAGCTTTGTGAAAAGCTCTGCAGCTGACACCGTGCATCAGGCATAAATCTGGCTTAGGGTGAAACTCACACCGTGTCGACGTGTCGACTGGACCAGAATAAAGCATTTGATTTGTGCATGTTTCCTTTGTATTCTGTTGGATTAAACAAAAGCTCCAGTGTTGTCATTCATGTGTAAGAAATATTGCTTTAGTGCAAATGTGGGTAGGAAAATAAAACTCTTGTGTACAGTATGTGTCCTAAAATTCTTTTCACACCTCTAACGTCTTGAGGTTACCAGTTTGTTGAGAAAGGTGTGCTCCCCGGCCCTGCAGGTACATATTTCTGCCTGTAGGAAAGAGATACGACATGCTGGTCTCAGGTCAGTAAACAGCTCTTCAAAGGGTCATGTGTTTTACTGCAGAGGGCTAAAGGGCGGCACATTCATCCTGCTGTAATTGAATCGGCCTTGATGTATGAAGCAGCTCCAGTTGGGCTGCACGCACCAACACTCAACACACAAATACACACAGTGAATACACACAAGGACTCACAGATCCACATGTGCATGCAAACTCATGTTCCTCATGTGCATTCAGATATACAAATCATGCCCAAAACACACACACACACACACTCACACACAGGAACATATTGGAGCTCATCTGTGCCAGCGCTCCAGTGACCCATATTGCTCTCCTGCCCAGCAGTGCAACGCCTCTCGGGTCTCTCTGCAGCCTCGTCTGACTGACTCACACTCAGGAGTTTCATCACTGCTAATATCTGCTGACTGGGGAGCAAAATGTGCCCCAAATATCTGGATCATGTCGTCTGCTTAGCAAGATTCATTTTGCAGTACAACTGTGCGAGGAAAGCCAAAAAGATTTATGTCCATTTGTGGAGAAAGCTGGCCATCTCTCTAACTTTTCAGAGAAAACAAACCTCTTAAGCTTGTCAGTATTTGCTGTAGTTTTGTCTCTGATGTTTTGGATGTGTGTGTGCGTGTGCGTGCAGCTGTTGGCCGACTGATATTTTTCTCCATCAGCTCCAGTCAGGGTGCCGATTGTCACTCCTGCATACATTTGCATTCAAATCATCGCAGCTGCTCACTAATTGGTAGCCTCCTCTGACTGATTGGTCGGTTAATTTATTTCATGATTATGGGGAATCTGTATGTGAAATCATTCTGAGATGTTGAGCCTGTGTTTATGTTTAACGATAGCACACACACACACACACACACACACGCGCACACACACACACACACACACACACACACACACACACAGAGAAAACTCTCAAATCACATCAAACAATGATAGATCTCATCAGTCTCTCCTCCAGGTGTTTGTTAGAGATAAGATTGCTTTTAGTGCAGCCTCTTTTTCAGCTACTGTTGGTATACATGCAGATCTTTATGCGTCTTGCTTGATGGATTGCTTCCAGTATGAATGCTGACCATCAGAACAAAATGGTGGCTGTAGACAGAAGTTGTGACACATCAACCAAATGTTTAGATATGTTGTTCCTGACATTTACCTTTTCCTCTCATTGTTTTGCTCATAGAAGTTGAAGCAGAGATGTTATATCATCTGCTTCAAGCGAGGTATCACCATGAGTAACTAAAGAAAGCTGAGAACATAAATTAAAACTATTTTCTAGTTTGTTAAAGTCTTACCCAGCATTTTGCATTTTTTTGACTGAGGCTGAAATGCAGCATAATTAATGTAATCTGCATGTTTAACAAAACAGAATGAAACGAGAACGCTGCAGACACCGATGACATTGAAGTTGATGGCAGACGCGGTGCCAGGATTCCAGTTTTCTAAGTAATTTAGCTGGGCCTGTTAATATCAGAAATTAAAACTGCTTCCCCTTCTTACCAGGGGCGTGTCCAGACTTTTCTGACTGGGGTGGCCCAACCCAGGCTCTGACTTATGCAGGGGTGGCCTGCAAGTGTGATGTGAGCATAAACTCAGCAATAAACCAATAAATATACCTCAAGATAATGGCAACATTAGCTTGATTTATTAATGACACAAAAATAAGATGTTCAAAGTTCCAATTTAAAGTACTTAAAAATGTGCATGCTAACTCCTGCAGTCTAACTTTCAATGTTCTGGTCCTGACACATTACCAGTTAGTTCTTTGCAGGTAAGACAGAGTTCATTACTTTCCTATGAACCCGTCTTATGAAACAAATTTTCAAAGTTTTGTTTAAAATTTAAAGTAGAAAAAAAAGAAAAGATTCACTCCAATACAACATTTCGAAATTAGAAAAAGCTATCCTAGACAGCATACCCTCCCCCATCAGCTGTAATCCTGAACACACAATCGTTCTCGGATCAGACCTGGATTTTTTGATCAACAGATGCACTGTGGGCTTCGACTTTCAGATGCATTGGCAGAGAATTTATATGGCGCGTAAACTCCTCTGGGGCTTAAACCATATTATCATAAATAGTCCTGTTAATCCGTTGGACTTTTGACCTCCACCTAGATTCATCGCCATCGCAGCACCATTAGGTGGGTGGTGAGGAAAGTTGTGGATGCAGTTTGTGGCTTTAAGCTTGTTAGTTAGCGTAATCTGTATATAAGTTACATTAGTGTGCAAGAGGTAGTCTGTTTTGGGGTTCTCCCAGAGTGCACAAATTGTGTTCAGCAAAGTCCACAATAAGCAGTGTCAGTGCAGCTGGTAGCTCTTTCTCATAGGAACTGTTTTCACCATGTGGGTTTGCACTCCTGCTAGCTACTGGTACCGTAGTTGAGCTTTAGCCTACGGTAACGTTGATATTTGTGTTGGACCGACCACCAATTTGTCTACGGCCATGCTGCCCTACTCTTCCAGTCGCTTGTTATCTTTAATTGAGGAGTCTTTTTAATCAATGCTTTAACTTAGGTGTGGGAGCAGGACCACATATGCACCTTCAACCACCTGTTAGGCCTACTTGTACCTAGTCATCCCACACCTAACCCACTCTGTGTCTCAGTTTTTCGACCCACCCTCCCTTCCTTCCCCTCCATCTCCCATCCTTCCTCATATCTTCATTTTCACCCTGCCGATGCCTCTGCTATGCATTTTTACAAGTCTAGGAACGGTCTGAGCCAAGATCAGTTTGGGTAGAAATCCGCCTGAGCCAAAAACCCATGCCAAGTCTCCCTCTGCCCCACCTTCAGTCCATCCTACCAGACCAGCCTAACGAACAAAATCCTCTTCCTACATCCGAGTCATCCAAACATTCAAAAATACCATCCTTTCATTCAATATTTAAAATGCATATTCTGACCTCATAAGGGAGAATAAATGTTCAAGCTTGGTCCACATTGCTATGTATTCCAACACTCTGTGCATTGAAGAAGCCGCTACATAAATAAGTGAGGGCGGATTTCTAATCATGTCAGTGGATAATGGTGGTACACTTGTGCCCATGGCGGCATGTCTCAGCATTTTTATATTGGTTGCACAAGTATGGGGGATGCAGACAACTTTTTTGATATTCACCAGATTTAGTTAAGATATCAAAGGGGGCTGCAGGAATTTTCTCGGTATCTGTTCATGTATTTGCTCGCACTATAGGGCCAATGGGTTTTTGTGTTTTGTGTGTGCATGACAAAAGGAAAACCAAATCCCACAATATAAAACAGGATCTCAGCACACACTCTGGCAGAAGTTTGGATGTTTCCTCGTAAAACTCTCTCGTTAAAATAACAATAATGCGCTGGTTTGTATATTCCGCACTGAGCTTTTCCACATGTGAGAGAGCACAGAACATTATAAATCTAGAGTTTCACGGAGCCGTGCACATCATGTGACAGAGCATTTTATTTTATATGCTGGTGTCTGATTGCTTTTAAGAACCAACTGCTATAAGCCATGAGGAGTTCCCCTTTCCTATTATTTCCGTGTATTTGACCAGCATGAAAAGTGTATATTATCTATGCGCTGAATTGATGGTTTAATATTTTTAATGCCAATGCTGAATTTGAGTGCCATGTTTTTTGCAATGTGGGTTTAAGGTGTTTTTGTCTCGTCTTACCTGCAGAAGACTCCCATGCCCTCCAGCAGGTAACACTGTCCATTATTGAAGCAGTAGTTTGGCAGCATGTCGCAGGGCGAGCGGCAGCTTCCGTTGACCATCTGATAGCCAACGCGGCATCCGCCCATCCCATCTGACCCGTCCACCGGTGCAGCTGCTGGAGGGGCCCCCACAGGGATGTTTGGAACTGGAGCCCCTGCACCAGGAAGTGCCGCCCCTGGGTTGAATGAGCCCGAACCAGGGGCCCTGGGCTTGGAGCGAGCAGGAGACCCAGCAGCGAGCCGGAGGTCTTCATCCGTCTCGTAGGCGTCGGTGGTTGTGCTGTAGGTGTACTCGTCAGCAGTCGGGGACACGCCATCCTCGTACGGGGTGAGGTAGTCGTAGTTGTCCGGCATCGCCCAGGAGGTAGGATCTCCAGCCTGCAGCTCATGGGCCAGTGATGAAGGAGAGGGTGGGGCCAGGTCGAGGCTGCGCCCACGGGAGGAAGGGTCGAAAAAGTCCACGTGGAGGATGTCAGGGTTGGAGGGGTTGGTGGCAGGAGGGGCAGTGGTGGTGAAGAGGCGATCCAGGTCAAACACGGCTGTGTCCTTGGCGTGAATCCAAGGCGGGTCAGTGTGTGGAAGACGCTCCTCCTCCTCCTCTTCCTCAACCTCCAACACCTCCGATTCGCGTGGGCTGCCGGGTAACAGGTGCTCCGTCTCAGCAGAATCAGGGCTGAGCCGAGGTGGAGCCGCCACTCCCACCTCCTCCACCGCGGGAACCACCGATTCACCGAACATGCCACTGCTCTGATCCTCCTCCTCGCCTGCGCGGGGCATCCGGCCCGCCCTCGGGGTCACAGTGCTGACCGCGTCAGGATTGGCTGAGACACTAACTCCATTGACCTTGTCAGGCCCCTCCTCCTCGTTAAGCAGCGAGGTAGCATTGGCCACACTCGCCGTCTCAGTGGCGTTGGTCCCAACAGTGGTTCCTACAAAAATCAAAGAAAAACAGTTTTTTTTTTATTACAGATGATCAGTTTGTTGAAAAGCTTTCTGTGGAGGGAAAATGCTTAGTTATGCAGCCCATAGCTTCCAGATCATTAATTATTACTTTGCATTATGAATATTTTAAACTATCAAAGTCGAATCATTGAAAACCAAGCCTGATAGACGGATTGTGAGACCCTGAGCACGAGTTTAAACTCACACAAACCTGAATAAAGGCTAAAAGAGACAGATTTATTTCACAGGGATAAACAGAAACAAGTCAAGATGGTTTTGACTCAGATTACACAGCACAGAGTGTATCGACCAGCTCAGGAGAAACTCGTAGCTCTTGGACCGGTTACCAGAGTGCACGGCTCATTAATCAGATGGCGGCCGGTTTGATTTAAAGCACCAACATTGTCAAACACCGACTCTAAGATATTGTACTAATAAAACTATGGATGGGAGACTAATTTTGGTATCGGGTCAGATATTGAAGTAGTTTATGTATCGGATATCTGACAGATGGATGGTCATAGACAAAACTTTCACTTTTGTGCCAGTTTTGAACGTCTTCTTAACATTTTGAGCGTCTTTTCATCGGGTGCCACAGGTCTCACTGGGATCTTTTCTGGTTGACCACTTTTACTGAGGGGGCCAAACTGGGGCCAGTTGTTTTGTCAGAGAGGAACATTAAACCCAGGTGAAAAATAGACAAAGATGATTGCTTTAAAATATATAAATATATTATGCCAAAAATAGCGCACATCATTAAATTTGATTTATATTTCTTTCAGTAAAAGTATTTAATACTAGATTGTGAGTCCGGTTGTTGAGTCAAATACTGTGTATGGTCACTCCTTTTGGAGGGGTGGCCACAGGGGGGACCAAACTTGGTGTTACAGGGGCACTGGCCCCTGTTGGCCCCTGCCTAGAACCACCCTTGATGGAGACCGAGGGCGCACTCACACTAGGACCAGTTGTCCCGAACCATATTGCCAAGTGTGAATGCGCCCCAAGAGGTTACTGTGTGGCTCGCTCTCATTTGCAGATGTTAAGACATTTCTGTTAATCTCATTGTTAGAAAATAAACGTTTGTTTTTCTGACACCTCGTACAAATTGAACTTAGAAAACATCTCAAATGGAAACACAGGAGCTAAAAATGTAAAGCCAATATTTACCAAGAAAGAACAGACTGGGCTGTTGAATGCAACAGCTGTTGTTATTTGTATCTGAACTACAAACACCAACTGGTTTGAAAAGACTTCTTCCAGCCTTATGAACGAGTGGTCCACCGCCACACAGTGACATCTCAGACTGGAGTCATTGAGCGTCCTGAGGCGGACAAAGGGGGCTCAAGAAGTATAACAAATTAAAACGAGACATGATTGGCTGTGTGCTTATCCCCCGGTCGATTACTTCATCCCGGGGCGGCTCGTTGAGTCATGTAGAAAGCTGCTTTACGGGCGCTCCCCCCTTTTGGATTAAAGGAATAATTCACTAATGTACTTGAATGGTGCAGAGCTGCAGGATTACGGATTATGGGGTATTGAGAGGGAAGGGATTGGGAGACGTTGGGGGTTTCCCTGCAGGAGGGGAAGTGATGATCTTGAGGAGTCAGACAAAGCAGGGTCTGGACAATTGTAAGAAAGAGGTACATATGTGCAGACGACACAGAAGATTTCCTCAAGAGCAAAAAATAAAGATCGTTTTTCTGTTGCTAATATCTTCTTAATGCAAACGAGCAAAAGCCTAACATGCACTAGATTTGAAAGAGACTTTGAAAAACTCATAAAAGATCTAAAATCTTCTCAGATTTAAGGACTTCTTTGAAGATTTTGCAAAGACTGGGTTTCATGCAGGATTGAACCAGATACACAGCTGCCCCTTTGTGTGTCCAGTGGTTTGAGGTTTCTGCAGTGATTGAGGTCGTAACTGTAACTTAGTTAACATAGTGAGCAAGCAGTCAGATAGAAAAACTTCCCGTCTTCCCTACCTCAGACTGTGAGACTATGCCATAACAGCGAGCTTTTTAATGTCACATTCAGTGAGGACGCAGTGACGCCAGGATTGCTGCTGAGCAATAAAACGAAGGCAACGTGATCAGACAACAAACAAGCTCGTCATGTGAGGGACTGTAGTTTTGATTTGAGTCCTCTGTTAAAAGCCATATTGGTAGGTATTGAGTTCCAAAGCTTTGCCTCCTTTGCAGAGAATCAGACTGCCAAATGGATGTCTCGTACATTGGGACAAGACAATCACCACTGACAGAGGCTCTTGTGATCGCCCTAAAGGCCCTGACACACCACGTCTTGGCCAAAAAGTTGCACTTGAACACACCACAAAGACTACAGCTGACGGCCAACCACCACGTACATTCTGCTCATGCATGAGAGGAAATAACTCTCCATGCCAGCAGGGGGCCGTAGTCCGTTGTTATGATACGAGAAGATAATTTTCCCACTGCTGTCGCTCACCACTCGTATTATAGGTAGTCTACTAATGGAGAATAATGTCTGATAAAAAGTTGAAAATGGCGCTGGCGTTGTCAGCCCCTTTGTCTTTTAGTGGAAAAAGAAAAGAAGAGGCGGAGGAGACAAATAAGAAGAAACCGCACTAATGGGTGAAAGCATGGATACTACAGCGGCATGCTCAAGGGGCTTTCCTGAACCTGTGAGGAGAGCTGGAGAAAATGAAACCTCCAAAGCCAATCAGAGAGATTCCTCTCACCGATCGTGCTGATATGTCGAATTGGCTGAAAAAAAATTCAACACACACACACACACATGGCAATATCTGCCCTTTGATACAGTTTGTTAACAGGCAGGAGCAATAGACTCATAAACTATCTGTTGGCCTTTTCAGGGACGTGATGTAATGGTTTGGATTGTGTTTTATTGGAAGTCATTGTTCATTGTGTTTCCGTCGGTTACGTGGTTACTGCCGGCTCGACAACAAATTGCCCTTTAAGGATAATAAAGGTATCCTTGATCCTTGTGCAGAAATCATTTTAATCCAGTGAAGAGCTCCTCTGTTCAAACCGGCGACATTTCATTTCATAGTCCTGAACACAGCGAGTGTGCTTTACTCGACTGCATCGTCAGCCTGAGAGTGGCTCCGTATCAGGCTTCTGTTTCTACGGCAACTCGTTTAGCTTTGAGGGACGAAGAACTATTTCTATGAAATCTTTCACTATCTACATTTTGGTCTTTTAGGAGGACAGACGTCTGAGATATTCCTGTGTTTCACTCACTGTAAATAAATAAATGTGAGTACTCTGGGTCGTATAAGGAGCTTTTGGTAAACAGCCTTGGCTAAACAACATATGTGAGTGTATCTTTGAGGATCTTTGCTGATAATCTCTGACCCTCTGGGATTTAATCTGTCTGTCTCTAAACGTCCCCTCAATGCTCAGCGAGGCTCCATTTACTCAAGCGAAGACTTAAGTTTTTATAACCACATCTACAAAAGTTTTATCACTCGCATGTATGTCTGATTATGCAACAAACAGAAATAATGGCCTAAACCAAAGCAGTGCAGCATTTTCAGCACTCGCCATCCTGAGGGATGAAAGGATCCCCTCAGGATGCGTCAGCTGTCTCAGTCAAAGAAATTCAACCTAAAGAACAGCGCTCCGCTCATCCATGTCACGTCTCCCTCACCGGCCAATCAAAATCAAGCAGGGGCAGGCTCAGTGAAACTATTATCGTTTTACTTCAAGGAGCAATATGTACCTCTGCAGTCTGAATTCAAAACATTGTAGAGAGCTGTAGACAATCTGTTTTACTTAGCCTAAATAAAATAAATTGTTTATTTAGGTAAAATGACTGCGACGATGACGCTAATTATTCTGCGATTTGCTGTTATGTGTAAGCATCAGGCTGACAAACTAAGACGTACTGAGAAATTTCGAGGGCATATAAAAAAATGTTTTCTTCCCCAAATAAAACCATTGAACACCTGTGAGTGACGCTGTCATCATTAGGCATGAAGTTGTTATTTTATCCACGAGCGGCTGACAGGTGGAAGGCTCGCTTTGTTGAAGGTGTTGTTTCCTGGCGCAGCAGCATTCAGCTGCGTCTTTGATGCCGGGGTCGTTCAGGGGCTAATCCCTGCAGCAGCCACACAATCCATCTCTGTTTTACACATCAACCCAGCAGCCCGGGACGACATGCCAAAAACCAGGATCCCACACTTACTCATGTGGTAAACAGGCTTTAGTTTAACCACACTCAGATTGTTTTCACACTGAATGATTGATGAAAACCAGAAAATCAGGATTCAGCCCCACACATTACAATCCCACTCTTAAATACACATAAGAACAACGATGCTGTCCTTCATTGGCTTTAAATCTCGCTCACATTCAAACCCGTCAGGATCACACTCGCTACGTGACAGTTTGTCATGCTGTTTAGTTAAATGTCATGGGGAAACAAGTCAGCCTTAAACACAACTGACTCTTCTCATCCTGCTGCTGCTGCAACAGTCGGATGAATACAAACACACTCGCACTCTGGAAAACAGACACTAATGGCCGCCACACAAGGAATGGGAATGACAGGGGGTGACGGGGAGAGACGGTAACGAGGGACAGCGAGAAAGTGACACATCATGACAGAGAGGAGAAAAGTAGGAAGGGAGGATGTGACAAAAAGAGGACGACGGAAAGAGAAAGGCAGATCCCACTCTGTATCTGAGAGGAAACACTCGGCTGAGATCCTCAATCGACACGTCTGAAAATCAGCAGCCGTAACATCTCACACTGCTGCAGCAGTTATTATTATTTATTTTGATATACTTTATTAATTAAGAGGAAATTTGGGTTTTACACTCTGTTATTTTAGAGACAAGCTTCTCACACACATGCACAAACAGGACCTGCTACACACTGCTACGCTGGGAGCGTGCCAGAGCAGTTGGGGGTTCGGTGCCTTGCTTAAGGGCACCTCGGCAGTGCTAGGGAAGTGATCTGGCACCTCTCCAGCTTCTAGACCAACT